GTTAACTTATTTTTTGATATAGGAAAAAAAAAAAAAAACTAAAAATGGGTTTTCTTTATCCTATTGGAATTTGGGGAGTTTCAAAATTTCTTGTCGGTTTGATTCAGTGAATTATTTGTTGTAAATCTTCTTCTCCCAAGTTACTTCTCTTATGCTAAAGGAAGCTTCTAATTAACTTTTTTTTTTTTTTTTTCTAATAATAAAAAAAGGATATTATGCATCTGCCATTATTACTGTAGTGGAACAATTCCCCTTGGTTAGTTGTGATGTTTCCTTGGCTGAAAGTTGTATCTATGCAGGCAATTCAGAGGACCAAATCTCGAATTGAATGTGGCCTTGGTAGTTCATTTGGTAATTTATGGTCCTATCAGGGTAATTATTCACCCTCTGGACTGTAATAGCAGGAATAAGGAAAACAGCAAAATGCCACCACCAAGCAAAGCCGATAAGAAGGCTACACTTGATGCAGCTGCATGGATGTTCAATGTAGTCACTTCAGTTGGGATCATAATTGTTAATAAGGCCTTAATGGCTACTTATGGCTTCAGCTTTGGTAAATTTCATTTACTCCTCCGTACAAGACATACACTCATAGACCAAAAGTGAATTTACATGAGTTCAAATATTGCTTTGTTTTAAAAGTTGAATTTCATATAAATTTTGTCAAAGGTAGAGATTGTCTTTAGACTAGCGAAAACTCTTTTGGTGAAAAATCGTTAAACATCCGTTAAATGATATTATCTTTATATATCAGTAGTAAGATAGTTAAAGCAGTTACCAAAATAGTCTTTGATCTTACTAGTGTACCCCATGCTTCTCTTAATGTTTTTATCTCTCTTTTTTTCATTATGCATGATTTTTTCTTTTTCACTTGGTTAAATTGTGCAGCTACAACATTGACTGGTTTGCATTTTGCTACCACAACCTTGATGACGGCTGTTCTAAGGTGGTTGGGTTACATCCAACCTTCTCATCTACCTTTACCAGAGCTTCTAAAGTTTATCATATTTGCAAATTTTTCTATAGTAGGAATGAATGTCAGCTTAATGTGGAATTCAGTGGGATTTTATCAGGTATATCATATTAATTGGTTTTATCTATTTGGATTTTTACATATATTAATATATCAATGTGAAAGTAGAAAATTAGGGCTGAGTATGTGACTCTATTTCTGTTATAATTCTGCACTAAATCCTAAAAGATAATATTATGTGTGCACACTATCAGATTGCGAAGCTGACTATGATCCCTGTATCGTGCTTATTGGAAGTTGTGTTTGACAAGATTCGATATTCGAGAGATACAAAGCTTAGCATCTTAATCGTACTCCTTGGTGTTGCTGTCTGCACAGTTACTGATGTGAGTGTTAATGCCAAGGGCTTCATTGCTGCTCTTATTGCAGTTTGGAGTACAGCACTGCAACAGTATGTAAGTTCTACTTTGAGAAATCTGTACATGTGTTGAGAAAGTTAAAAAGTTGATGTTTGGATTCAATCAATGGAAGTGTTTAAGCTAACTATTATTGTAACTAATTTCGTATAGATTGAAGTTCTTTGGCATCAAGATATTGAATTTGTGTGTGTGTTGGGTGGGTGTGTAGTTTGAAACAGCTGCAAATTGCTTCACACCTAGCCCTTTTAGAATGCGTGTTTCAGATTGTATTTATCCAAGCATTTTTGTACACTTTGTATGATGTTTGTTGAAAATACACTACTGAAGCTTTGCATTTGCAGTATGTTCATTTTCTTCAGAGAAAGTATTCTCTTACGTCATTCAATCTACTGGGTCACACTGCACCAGCTCAGGCTGCATCACTATTGTTGTTAGGCCCATTTCTTGACTATTGGTTGACAAACAAGAGAATTGACGCCTTTGACTTCCATCTGCAGTCCTTGGTAAGTGCATCCACAACCTTTATTATGTATATTGCATAACTACAGTCTACAGTCAATTTTGATTTCTCTTAAATCATTATATTTTAGGATCTCTTGTCTCTGTCTTTAGTGTACCAACTTGTAAAGGAAAAAGAACTGTCCTAAGATACTTGCTTTTCTGTAACTGTCTTTTTAAGTGTTTTGCTTGTACTAAGGTGCAGTCTTATGGATTGGAAAGGGGGTCACAGGTTTCCTTATAGTAATTTCGGTATGTATATATAATACTATGTATCACAATGACATGATTGTTAAGAAGGAACTGAAGTTGATTGCACTTCCTGACTGTGGTGATTTGTATTGTATCATATCTG